CCCGCCCGCAGCGGCCGTGCCCGGGGCGCGGAGCGGGCCGTTCCCCGCCGGACCCTGGTGCGTGAGAAGCCCGGTCCGCCCGGGCGGGGAGGATCCCAGGAGCTGCCCGCCGTGTCCCCGAGACCAGGCTCTCCTGCCCACCTCGGGCCAGGGCGGGGTGCCCTGCGCCGCAGGGAGGTGGGTGGAGGGCAGGGGTGCACCTGGCTCCTGGCTCCCTTCAAACCGCCCCGGCGCCTGCAGCGGGGAAAGGCAGGGTCTGGGGGGTCCCGGCTCTGCCGCCTCGCTCACCTGTCGAGCAGAGATGTGTTTCTACGCAGGATGAGACCAAACCGGGGGGACGAACGTGCCGGGGTCTGCTCTGTGACCCCGCACAGGGACACGCTCCCACCGACTGGACCTCCGCGCACTCCGGTTCAGATGGGGCGGTGGGGTCCCCTTCCCGGCACGGAGCAGAGATCCCGGTAACTCAGCACAGAGGGAGAGAGCAAGAAGCTACTCACGCTTGCGAGAGGAGCGCCTGGCTGTGTCGCGGCAGTGCCGGGTGCTGCCAGCCTTCGGGATGACCAGGAGAGCGGACAGGAACGCGACGCTCCGCTCAAGGAAAACCTGCCACCAAGCAGCGTTCGTTTAGCCCCGGACTCGATCGAGACCACCATTTGGAACTGATCACCCTTCACCGAAATGCAGCCATGTCTGGGGAGGCTGCGGCAGCTGATTACTGCGGCCAGACCTGTGGGTACAGGAGACGCTTCGATCCACATGAAATCCAACCAGGCCGGCAGGAGCGATTAGTCCAGCCCCGTCTGACAGCAGCCAGGATCGGATGGGGAAGGCACAGGGGATCTCATCCCGCATGGCCTAAGCCCCGCAGCCAGGGTTCAACCCCTCGCAAACCAGGCCGGGGCGCACACGTTGCCCCAGAAGCAGCCGGGGGCTGGTAAAACCTCGCAGCGGGCTCTGCAAGCACACTCTCACCCTCCGCCTCCACCACACGTCCCTCCCACCACGAACGGCACCAGGCTTTGACCAAAGCCCCGAATTCTCTCTCTCTTGGCTTGCAACCAGCTACCGCCATGAACAACGACCCAGCGCCACTCGGACACCTGGAGCATGAGGGGGTCTTCCCCAGGAAGGGAACTAGTCAGAGCTGCCCCCAGTGAGTCCAGGTGCCTGGGAGGTATTTACTGCGGCACCGCCGAATTCATAGTTTCATAGTTGGTCGGGTCAGAAGAGACCTGAGCAGATCATCCAGTCCGACCCCCTGCCGTGGGCAGGAAAGGATGCTGGAGTCAAACGACCCCGGCTAGGTGTCTGTCTAGTCTCCTGTTAAAGCCCCCCAGGGTAGGAGCCGGCACCACTTCGCTCGGAAGTTGGTTGCAGGTCCTAGCCGCCCTGACCGTGAAGTAGCGCCTCCTGATGTCTAGTCTGAATCTCCCCTCTGCCAGCTCGTGACTGTTGTTTCTTGTTACCCCCGGGATTGCTCGGGGGAGCAGGGACTCCCCCAATGCCTGCTGGTCCCCCTTGGCCAGTTTATAGATGGCCACCAGATCCCCCTCAGCCTTCTCTTGTGGAGGCTGAACAGGCTCAGGTCCCGTCGCCTCTCCTCGTAGGGCCTGCCCTGCTGCCCCGACCATGCGAGTGGCCTCCTCTGGACCCTCTCCCTGCTGTCCAC